GACTCCTACGGAGAAAGGGGCCAGCTACTACCACGACGCTCCTCTGCAGGGCGCGAGTGAGGCCAAGGCGTACAGATCCCTCTGTGTGCGACTTGGCTTCCTAGCCCAGGATGCGCCTCACTTGCAGTACGTTGCCAACAAGTGCTGCAAACACATGGCGGTACCTACTACTGGTGGGCTAGCTCGTCTGAAGAGAGTGGCGAGGTTCCTCAAGGGTGAGCCTCGGTGCGTTCAGAGCTTCGTCGAGCAGCACAACGAAGGCAAGTACATCGACGTCTACTGCGACTCCGACTGGGCCGGGGACTTGAAGGACAGGAAGAGTGTCAGCTCCGTCTTCGCATTCCACGGTGCGCACCTCCTCAAGAGAACCGTGAGCACACAGGGCACGACCGCATTGTCTAGCGGCGAGGCGGAGTTCACTGCTGGAGCGAAAGGCACTTCAGTTGCCCTGGGTGTTCGCTCCCTGGGGGCGGACCTAGGCATGGAGCTGTTCCCAGTCATGCACACGGACAGCAGCGCTGCGAAGGGCATCTTCGGCAGGCGCGGGATCGGAAGGATCCGACATCTACACGCCCCTCTCCTGTGGGTTCAGGAGACGCGCGCGAGGAAGGAGATCAAGATTTGCAAGACGCCGGGCGAGACTAACCCGGCGGACCTCGGCACCAAAGAGCTCTCCCGCGCGGACGTCCTCGAGCACCTGACGACCTGCGGGTTCGCTTTCGAGGCTGGGCGCCACCCTCTGGCGCTGGCTGCGCAGGTTCCGGCGCCTGGCGAGACCGGCGGCTTGAGCGGCAACGGCCGGGGCCAGGCGCTGCGAGACGTGGAGGCGCCCATCTGCGGGCGCCCGAGGCAGGTGCTGAGCGGAGTCTGGTGCGGGCGCGCCGCCGCGCCAGCGGGCCGTGGACCCCGCGCCCCATTGCCTTTTGGGTCGGGCCGGACAGGCCCGGCCGCGGCAGGCGCAGCTGGTCGAGCGCGCCCCGCGACAGGCGTGCTCGAGGGGGGCTGTCGAGATAAGCACGTTTGACAGCAGTATTTTCGTGCCTGTCCGCAGCCATTCTGGCAAAAGAATTTGTCATGTTGATTGGCGCCGACTGTAATTTCTGGGCCATCAAGTGGGTCTACACGAAGACCGAATCGACTGTCATATCTTCTGACTTTCGCAATGAAGAAGAGCATGCTTCTGCGAAGAGGAGGAGGAGGAGGGGGTACGCGACTGCGTGTTTGTTCTGTGTTGTGGCCGAAATTTGAGGGTCTCATGAAGTTCACGGATATCTCACAACGAGCGCTGGCCAGATGATCGGGCCCGGATTGCACGTGGCAGACTCTGGAAGGGCTAGTTTGATGTGCGAGCGGCGATGGGAACATCGACGCACTGCATCTCGCGATGAATGGCTACATCGCCATGCAGCTGATGGTCCTCGAGCTCGGCGAGAGAGCCGTGCGCTTCGCCGCGACGTCGAGCAGGGGGGGATGCAGGTTTCGGAGATGGACCCACGTTCACGCAGGTACCGCAGTGCGTGACCTAAGGGGGTTCGGAAGCACATCGCGCGTCGCGGAAAGCAGAATCCAAACTACCGAGAACGCAAACGCAAGTTCACCTTGACTCGAACTTCACAACGAGCCCTTCGCGATCTCCACCATCTGCCTGAATGCGTCCTTGGATCCGGCGCGCTTAACTGTCCTCCGTCTTGGGGGCTGGGGACTGGGGCGTCGACTATTTGGAATGCAGCGACGCCGGCCGGCGGGGTCCGCCGCCGAGCATGTTTCCGCGGCATCGGCGAACGCGCGCCCCAGTTCTATTGGGCTTTCGCCGCCGCCGCGGGCCGGCGCTGCGGCCCCCCACTCGTCTGCCCCTGTTCCTTCCGCATCTACGTCTTCTTATGCGAATCCAGAACCTCCGGCTCTGTCAGGAGGGCCCTCCCCCGCGCGTGCGCCTGCCGTTTGCCCAGTTCGCGACCAGAACGCGCAGCTTCGAAGAGTTCGCATGCCGCGAGCGCTTCGAGCTCGCGCGGGGCGCCCGCAGCGGGGCGGGCAGAGCCAGCGGACGAGGCGCCGCAAGACGTATGCTCGATGTCTCAGACGCGGGAAGTTGGGGCATTGCGCGGGGGTCCAACGGCAGTATTTGGGATGTGCTATATGCGCCGCCTGCGAGACATGTCTGACTGTCTGGACAGACAAGCACATGCGAAGTCAGTACTTCGGCCCCCCCCCGAATGGTTCCAGAAACTGGTCTCTGGATCTCAAGCAGCCGGTCTCCCGGCGCCCTCGCAAACCCCGCGTACCTCTGCGAATATTTGCCCAGATTGCCGAGCGACGACAGGGGGGAGCTAAAACAGAGTTGCCGCCGCAAGTCACGCAGTAAGATGCCGGACGCCATGTGGCCGGCTACAACAAGGTTTGTGCTAAAACTGCGTGATCATCGGCGCGCTCATGTTGAAACGTGTTGGGCGAGTGCGCATGGCCGTGCTAGACATGAAAGAGGATGTCTCGGGCGGCGTAGAGCTCGTGATCTCTCCCTACATCAGAATCTGCGGCATCGCACACTAGCATGTGTTCATGATCTACCCGGGCAATCTCACATTCATAGTTTCCGCGCGCCTCTTCCGACGGACAAGAAGACCCATCGATTCAACCGGTGCCGGAATGTTTTTAGACCACGTTGAGTCTCTATCAGACGCAGTTCAATCTGATCCAAGAGTTATTGGCACATGGCATTTTGTGGGGTGTGATTTTGAGCGCATGGGCCCTGGCTCTTCTCGATCGCGTCCGGTTTGGACACGCGTTTGGAGGCCGCCCTGAAGAAGGCGGAGGAGGCGAGGGGCAAGAGCGCAAGCTCAGAGAGGAGGGAAGACGCAGCGGGCGCCCCCGCCAGGAAAGGGGCCCGCAGGGGAGGGGGTCCGCTGGCGACGGACGAGGTCAAAGCTCTGCTCTTGCGGGGCGATCTCAATTTCAAGGTGTCGGCGAGGTCGACGCTGGCCTGCTAGCGAGCTGCGGCGGTGACCGAGAGCAACGAGCACGCGCGATAATTTCGTGCGATGCCACAGTAATGGGTCAAGAAGATTCGAAGTAACACAGCATATGGAGAAGGACAGGAACTCCCCCGGGCATCCCATGGACATGAAGAGAGATACGTGAGCTTGCGTATCATTCATGGTTCTTCCCGAACCGATACGGCTGGAGTATACAAAGAAACAGACCGAGGGCCGAGGGCCTGGCTGGCAAGGGCGCGGCAATGCTATTTGGAAAGTACGCAACACCGACACAAATGTTCTGAGGCTGTGCACCGGAGAATTTACGTCGCGCCACAACCATCCGAGGGAGGACAGGAGCCGGAAGCGGGCGCTATCTTTCACGGACTTCGTGCCTATCGAGTTCTTGACACCTGTTGCCAATCATTTTGCATGGAGGGATCCAGCCCAAGCCGTTGTCATCGCGCTTGCCCGCGGCCTCCAGACCAGGGGCGGGCGTGCACTGCGGGGCGTTCTGAAGTCCAAGCCGAAGGGCGGCGGGGCCGCCAAGGACGGCCGCGGCCGCAAGCGAGGTCGCCGTCGGCGCGGAGGCGTCATCGGCCAGCCCTGGAGCCAGAACGATGGCAGCCCCGAGGGAGGGGCCAGGAGCTCCCTGCTGACCACGACGATACCCAGAGCCTGAAGTTTTGGCCGATCTTGATTTTGCTTGTCGCCATCTTGATCCTGTTCACGGCTCAGTTTTGCGCGGTTGTGGTCTTCCTCCTTGCGTGGCGCCCACTTTGCCGATTATCTACGGCAGTAATTTTGTGCAGTACCTTCAAGATGCCACAGCGTGCGTCTACTTTTTTCCTGGAGGCGGGGGCTGTGTTGGGCCTGGGTTTCGGCCCTTGTCCCGGATTGGCCTCCGCCCCTGATTTCCTTATCCAGTGCGGTATTGGTTCGCGGAGGGCTCCGAGAGATCCCGCGCCTTCTACGCGCCCTTTTCGCGCAAAACTTGTAAGGTTGACGACAATTTGTTGTTCCGCGAAGGGTGAGAAGGGGACAGGATACCGGTGCCGCTGCTTGTCCTGGAGACTCCTCGTCGCCACCGCTGGTCGACTGGACATGCGACCCTTTGCCGGAGCGGCCTCTGGCGCGGGCTCATCGGCCCCCCCCGATCGCTGAGCGCGATGCAGCCTGCGCGCTCGGGTTTGGCCCTCTCGCGCCCCCCCCCAGAAGCTGCGCACCAAAGGTCACTCTTACTCTGGGTCACTTCTGCGTCTGGCCGACGTGGATTCTCGTCGAGATTCTGGTCGGACTGCACCTGGAGAAGCCCCTCCCAACAACGGGGGCGTGAAGCAAGCGCACCATGCCCGCACGAGCGGATGCGCGAAGCAGGTTGCAAGGGCACAGGGACCCGCCACGTCAGCGGCCGATGCGGTCTTGGGGGCCTGCTCCTCCTCCTCCTCCTCCTCTTCCTCCTCCTCCTCCTCCTTTTCCTCCTCCTCCCGCTCCTCCTCCTCCGCGTCCTCCTTCTCCTCTTCCTCCCCTGACTCCTCCTACTCCTACTCCTCCTCCTCCTCCTCGTCCGCCTCCTCCTCCTCCTCCTCCTCCTCCTCCTCCTCCTCCTCCTCGTCTTCGTCCTCATCATTTTCTTCCTCCTCTTTCCTCTCCTCCTCCTGCTCCTCCTCCTCTTCCTCCTCCTATCTGCTCCTCTTCCTCTTCCTCCTCCTCATTATCTTCCTCTTCCTCCTCCTCCTCCTCCTCCTCATCCTCCTCATCCTCCTAAATCTCCTCCTAAACCTCCTCCTCTCTTCCTCCTCTCTCTCCTCCTCCTCCCTCCTCCTCTCTCCTCCTCCTCCTCCTCCCTTCCGCGTCCTCATCTTCCTCTCCTCTTCCTCCTCCTTTCCTCCTCCTCCTCCTCCTCCTCCTCCTCCTCCTCCTCCTCCTCCCCATCCTCACCCCCCCCATCCTCCTCCTCCTCCTCCTCCTCCTCCTCCTCCTCCTCCTCCTCCTCCGCCCCCTCCTCGTCGTCGCCGCGCCCGGGCACATAGGCGCCAGGCAGCCGATGGCCGGCCCTCCCGAAGCCGTCGGCCGAGGCCGCCCATGGGCCCGCGGAGCATGGCAGCCGAGGCGGCCCTGGCCCGCGCGGAGCGGGCCGCGCGGCAAGCGGTGCGCAGGGCCGACGCTCGCGGCGAGGACTTCCAAGAAGCCGAGCCCACAGGCGCGAGAGGGAGGGAAAAAGCGGAGAGACGAGGAAGGGGAGGAAGAGGAGGAGGAGGGTCAAGAAAAAGAGGGGAAGGGGAGGAAGATGAGGAGGACGAGGAGGAGGAGGATCAGGAGGAGGAGGAACAGGAGGAGAAGGAGGAGTATACCGAGGCGGAGGGAAGAGGAGAGACGAGAGAAGAGAGACGAGAGACGCTAGACGAGAAACGAGAGACGGGAGACGAGAGAGTGAGGAGGAGCAGGACGACGACGACGAGGAGGACGAGGAGGAGGAGGAGGAGGCGACGGCCGCCGCTTTCAGGAGAAACATCAGCCATCAGAACCAGGAGGAGGAGGAGGAGGAGGAAGGCGAGGAGGAGAAGGACCAGAGTATACGAGGACACACGATGAGAGGGAGGGTGACACTAGGATGAGGCTTAGTAGTAGTAGTAGTAGTAGTAGTAGTAGTAGTAGTAGTAGTAGTAGTAGTAGTAGTAGTAGTAGTAGTAGTAGTAGTAGTAGTAGTAGTAGTAGTAGTAGTAGTAGTAGTAGTAGTAGTAGTAGTAGTAGTAGTAGTAGTAGTAGTAGTAGTAGTAGTAGTAGTAGTAGTAGTAGTAGTAGTAGTAGTAGTAGTAGTAGTAGTAGTAGTAGTAGTAGTAGTAGTAGTAGTAGTAGTAGTAGTAGTAGTAGTAGTAGTAGTAGTAGTTCGTAGTAGTAGTAGTAGTAGTAGTAGTAGTAGTAGTAGTAGTAGTAGTAGTTAGTAGTAGTTAGTAGTAGTTAGTAGTAGTTAGTAGTAGTAGTAGTAGTTAGTAGTAGTAGTAGTAGTAGTAGTAGTAGTAGTAGTAGTAGTAGTAGT